CCTACTCCAAGACGTCAGAAGAAGTAACACCATGAACATATGTATACGTCGTAGATAATTAATTTAAAAATATATCATTTTGAACAAAAAATTAAAAAACGATTACTGTAGAATATTTATGGATATACATATTATTATGACTATATATTACTTTAACTAATCATATATATAATTGGTTAAAATAATTTTGTATCTAATATTTACATAATTAAAGTAATTAATCAATATAGTAATATTGTAGTAGTACACAAACTTCGAATCCCAATCTTATAAAGCGTGTATTATCAAATTTTAATAATATTCGACAGAATTTAATAGATAATGCAATGAATATGAAAAATTGATAAATGTGTTTTTTGGGATTACAGCAACCTATAAATGCAGTTACAATCGAAATCCCTCGGCAAAAATAGTACGATTCGCGATTAGAAGAAATATATTATTATACTTGAATGCTTCATTGGTTTGCAATGAAGAGAACGTGGATGTTGACGAGTTTTGATGATGATATAGAAATAGATAATATCGAAGAACAAATCGCCAACATCGATCTGTTCAGTGGAATCGTGAAATGCTAACAAATGTATTGATAAATCGCAATGCAGTAGATATTGACGATACATTTTTAGATAGTAATAAATTTACGTTTGATAAATATTGTGACGCAGTAACGCGATAAACTAATTTTGAAAATTTCACACTGTGTCGAAAATATTCAAATTGATTTATTCAAGATGAATCGTTGTCACATCGTATAGATTTAGTTCACTTTACATTAACTGTTAAAGTTGACACAGACACAGTCCGGCTCGTGAAAAAAATTGAAGTATTCTAAAAAAAATGATTCGAAAGATACGAAATTACCTTCATGTCATATTTGAATATATATTCTTAGCAATACTGTAAATATTACATAGTGTGAATATATCTATATGTATATATTATGTAAATATATACATATAGTGTATATATATATTAAATGTATTCTGACATTCAGAGTACATTCAATGGTCATTTATTTTTTCTAAAATATGCTGTGAACAGCTTAATTGTGCTGACATACTATTTTGATACCGATGAAAATGTCGGTTTTTGCAAACATTTAATGTACTTTAGGATGGAGAACAGCTTCTTTCGCACCTTTACGTGATCTATTCTGTTAATTCTATTACATCGTGAAATAATAAGAGAACTAAGATGAAAGAGAGGCATGCTACTTTTATATTAAATATATGACAAAGCCTTGTTACTGTTATCATGAAGATATTTTAGAGGATAAAAAAATTTCGAATAGTATTTAAATTAATATTTTAATAATTTTTAATTGATAAATTTATGTTATTTGCTATACCCAATGTACTGCATAATTACAATAAAATCGTTAAAAATTTCACATAAATTTGTTATATAAATAAATGGGGAAATATAGCAATCCCAATATTTTACTACTGTAATAACGTTAAGAAGTAGCTGAAAATTTAGTTAATTGAAAATATTTTTAAATATCTTTTATAAAATATGAATTTACACTTAAAAGCGTGTATTAATAATTGTAGAATTTTAAGTTACTGTAAAAGAAGAAAACCATCAAAGTCCATAAAACATGAATAGAACTCTTTTTGGTACACATTACAGTGATTTTAGTTAGTTATTAGCTTTACATTTCGATATTTAATAACAAAATTGATAATACCGTAATGGATTTCAAAAATCATATTTTTAGCGCTACTTGACCAACTTTGATCGTTTTACTTGATACTGTTTCCACACTCACTGTTGTTTAAACGTAAAGTGCGCCAAAAGCCAGTTTTTCACTACGTCGATATTTCAGGTTACGAGCCATGATTCACATCGTCTGTAGTTCCACAAATGCGTAATTTTCAAGGGAATCCAGGAATACAAGCAGCAGATTTCAAAGAATAATTATAAAATCTACGTTTGTTCAAAAAAGCTGCATTCGTGAACTCGCCTCGAATTGCATGTATAGTCTTTGTGAGAACATCATTCTTTGTCTTCAGACTGCAACCTTATCTCTGCTAGGAATCGATAAGTTCCCAAAACGTATCTATATAGGGATCAACTTCATACGAAGGAAACTTTTGGAAGGGATTTGAATTAAGATCCTCTTCGAAAAAGGCTGAAAGTGTCTACCAAACAAACATTGTACGTCAGTGCAGTCATGTAATCTGCAAATAAATGTATCTACTTCTCTACATTTCTCAGCGAAATGAACTAATTCATGTAAAAACATCAGTTTACTTCAATCACGTAGTGTGTTTGATTAAAAAGAAAAAGACAAAAAAAATTACCCGTTAAATAATAGCAACGAAAGGCACGAGGAAATAGATATCGTGGAAGAAAGAAAATTATTTCTCCAGAGACAATTGAAGAATAAGACGTAGTTTCATTGTTGATACTGTTGGAATGTAGCGACCTCTACTTCCGGAGAATTTAGATCAACGTAATCTATGTTTATTAACTCGTCCCGTCGAGATGAGTATTTTCGATAAACAACAGAATATTTTAAAATTGTTAGTAATTTAATTATCCCTGTGGAAATGTTTAAGGATACATAAATATATATATATTGTAGCCATAGTAGAAATTCATTCATTCGTTATTTGATATTTCTTATTTATCATTCATTATTAGTAATTATATATTTTGTTACAATTATAATATTTTTATAAATTAAATACGGAGTTATTATTTACATTTGTTGTACTATGATTGAGAATAATTATTATCATAGTCACTACAGGAAGCAAATCGCGACATCTACTGGTCGTATAGGTGATTACTATGTATCTAGTATTGATCGGTATGCACATATATATATATGTTCCGTTTGGTCCAGAGACCTCCTCCTTTTTGTTTCGTCAGCCGAGATGTACAGACGTACTGAAAGTTCGTGTAAAGTTTGCAAGTGTTACTTTATTATAAATAGAATTATATAACATTTATTCTTCAATATAAGGAATTGAGAAAGCGGTTCTCTCGCTATTAAATGAGGATGACTGACGACCAGCTGCTGCAACACATTCAGTAAGTTAGTAACAATTCTCTAAAAATTTCATCGATAAACATCAGCAATTCGATTCTCTACAGAAGCATGAAAAAGTTCTACATAAACTTTGCACTTTTCAATCGGCTATTTGCTGGGAAAGTAAGAAGCAGTCAAACGTCGCGATGTCGACTTCAGAAGCACAGTATGTGGCTATTTCCGAAGCCTGTAAAGAAGCTAATTTTCTAAAGTGGTTTTTGAGCGAACTAAGATCTAAGATGAATGTGTGAGTTTGTACAACCGAACGAAATACATTGACATAAAATATCATTTTGTTCGCGAAGCTGTTGTTGCGATTGTTACATTGAAATGACAAGCACTGTTACAAGTAGTTCTACCATCACTTCTGCCGTCTCTAACAATTTTCATAATTTGAGAACGATATCGAGAAGAAATGATGTACACGATTCATCATCCCCAGAAAACATTTCACTTTATTTGCCATCTTCATCTAATCTCGCTTTACATGACAAACCGGTCCCAAATCGAATCTGAACATGAATTATGTGCAAAACAACAAGAACCTCGCTCACGCGAAGAAATTGCACTCGAGATAAAAATCGTACAAATAATCTTATTATCGTGAAAATAGTAGGATTTTCGAAAAGCAGATTGTAGGCGATGAAATTGTAACAGTGCCAACTATCGTTATTCGACGCGTAAGAACAAATAATGCATTGCACTACGAGTAGGTAGTCGTTATAACTTATCGTATTTGTGGTTTGAGAGTGAACGTACGAGCAAAATTAAGTGAATAAAGAAAGAACGAAAAATGAGCTTCAATAGACAGATGTGGATATAATAAAGTTTTAAACATTTTTAGTTTCAAAATTAGCACTGAATAATTAATACAATGTAAATGCCTGTAAATCAATTCCCATGTCACCACTGAGTTGATATACGAGAGTGTGATAATTGGATCTATACAATTTAAATACGTTCAAAACTACTGAACTTACGTATACATATACATCTATACTTATGTCCAACATGTAAATGCATATACATGTATGTAAATTCGATCATATCGTGGAATTTTTATTCTCGATTGCATAGTTGTTTGTTCACTTATTCTTAGCCACAACCACACATTCGTTTTTCTTACATTATAAATCATCAAATCAAGAAGTTGGGTAAATTGAAACGGAAATATGACAAAATGTATCGTGCTACGAATCAGTTAAATATGAAAATATTTTAGAATAAATCCGCAAAATTTTTTTATATTCTACATAGTTGTAACTAAAACAACACAAATGTTTACTAAAAAATCATCATTCGTTTAATGAAAAATCAAACTCGCGTATTATGCTAAGACTGAGCAATTAATATTAAATAAGGTACGGATTATCATGTATTTTTAAAAAATTCTAAAATACAAATTTGCAAGAAATGCACATTATATAAAATAATGTAAAAAGTGTTCAAAGCACAGTTGTAAATAGTTGCTACGAAAAACAATTTTCTATTTGTGCTTTTATTTCTTTAGTTATGTTCTGAAAAACGTGAATTTGCATAAAAATTTTCAGTTTCTTTAAGGCACGTGTAAGTCTAAGGTAATAGATTTTTAAAAACATGTATGAAAAAAATTATGAAACTAGTGCGACATAATCTTATACATAATTTATATATTCATGAGTATTAAAAATAAACCTTAAAAATAATTTTGTTGAAAAGCCATATACTAAAAGTTAGATTGCACTTATTCTCGACAATAGTGGTGAAAATCTCTAGTTGGAAATACATTTAGCTACATTATTACGATAGTGTTGTAAGCAGTTCGCATATATTGATATTTCCGAAATTTGATTTTGGAGAATAAAAAGAAGTCACACAAATTTTGAGATTTGGCGAATATAGAAACCATATAATAATAGAAATACTCTGTTTGAATAAAAAAGGAATTGTAGTGTAATATAGAACGTTGTTATAACATAACATTCAAAAATTTGCACTGTCTCGATCACCATTCGTTCCTTTTTTTAATTTCTCAAAGATTTTATGATGGCATCATATTTAGTATATTCAAGATAATATATTATAGTATTTCTTTATCATAAGTATGGTTGTCGACGAGAAGATAGACAATAGATACTTGGTAAACTATTCAGGAGTTCTTCCATTATTTCATATCTTTTTAGTAGCATCGTACTTGGAATGAATGATTCTGTCGTCTGTTAGACTCTGTCCTCAGCAGTACTTTTTAAGATTCTTGACATACAGACATGATAATCCTTTAGCGTATAGTGATTACGATTAATTGGCACAATCATGTACATATTCGATACTAATTCTTCAGAGTTATGTAGGATTAATAAACTTGCACTGCTGCATGACGTTATAAATAATGGAATCAACAAACTTCGTTTATTGAAACTGATTAATTTCAATGTGTTCCTTCACATCAGACACGTTTTCTTATTTCATGTGCTTCGATTCGTTGACACAGATATGACACAGAAGATACGGTTGACAGGAATATACGATACAGCAAATAAATATTCGACTTGACTGACTTTTTCTTCGACTCGCAGCTGCAGTGTAAAAAGAATTGCATTTGATACAGAATGGAATATGCTCTTGATAGTAAGTCATATATACACCTCTCTACATTCCACTTATCTTGTACTATTTCATAACGGTACACCAATCTTGATTTTGTTGTAAAAATAAATATCACTTATATTTTTCAAAATTATCTTGTATTATTGTAGGACAATCTTGAATTTATCGTACAAGAATAAATATTACTGAAATTATTTTGCTGCATGACAATCTTGACTTTATTCTAAGAGAAAATGTTCGTCCCATGCATCTTTTACAATAGTATGCATTATTTTAATTTTGAACAATCTTGAATAATCTTGGAACTTGAAGAACAAGTGTTATCTGTGTCAATGTAGTGAGATTTTGCCCGATAATAAATGAAATTCAATTCAATAAAGAATACTATTGATTTCACATTTGTTCGTTTTTGTCTTCTGTAACGAAGTGTGCCTGTCTGCCACTTCAATCTTAGCTTGATTTGATAAACCACGGTTTATCACTTGGATATGTCTCGCAGGAAATTTTCATCATTTTCGATTCGTCGAGGAAGATATAAGCACAAGTCTCTTCTTTTCCTCTTCTATTAGTTTGTGAACTTTTCAAAACCAAATTCGCTATTTGCTTGGTCGCACTACTAGAACAAGTTTTAGGGATGCTTTTCCTCCAATTACATTTCATACCACTTATAAACTGTGGAAACTTTTGAAATATTCGCATATAGCAATTGCTTGCTGTCCACTGACAATCTGAAATTATTTCAGATAGTAATGAGTAGAATGTACCACACGATGCAAGTGTTTCATGCTAGCAAAATTTTCTTAACTATTTTCTAAATATAGCTGCAACGTAATGCATTTCATTCGTAAACATAAATTTATGTTATTTCTTTGTATCATTTAGAATACTCTTCTTCCTTCTGTCTACGTCATACATGATCTAGACGTAATTATGGATTTATCACTATCTTTTTCCAAGCGATTGTCGTTGCTAAGAACGTCGTTAGCTTTCTTGTGAGAAGTTACAGAACGCGTTGAATAATGAAAGAAGCTCTTTTTACTGGTTTTAAATTAATGTTCTAAATGTGCTAATATAATTAAGATACTATGTCTTGACATAGCACTCACCTGTACAAAAACTAACATTTTTACATGCTTTTCACGTCAGTTTTTGTTCGTCTTTAATATAACTTTTTGTCTTTTTGCAAATTGTATTGCTCGTTTGTACTTTGATACATCTGGAAGCATGGAGTTGTGAAGAAGCAGTTCTTGTGCTAACTCAAAATGTTAATTGAGCAGTACTGCAGCAATAGATAATCAAACTATTCAACTCTATACGTAAATTGTGTGCGTCAATGCAATTGTAGGTTAGTGGAATTATTATTTACTTTGTCTTGACGTTATTTAGATCAACGTACTAAACATAAACAAATAATTTCGTTATATCTATTGTCATAGAGACATGAGAAGTTTCGTATCTTAACGAGATACATAGAATTTAAAGTCAAAAGATTAATATGTCTGAATGCCATGTGATACACTTCCAGCGTGTAAATAATAATTTTATAACTTAACTATACCCTAGATGATTTCCAATTATCTACTGTTGATAGTGTTCCTGATATTTATTTCTATCATAACAACAATGTATTGCAACTATATCGTTGATATCTATTTCTCGCCAAATCTCTTTCTTAACTATCATATTCGTCTCATTACAGCAAAATTTCATAAAATATCATTTTAAAGATATGTAAATTATCGTGTAACTTATTTTTCTCTTCTCAATTGATAATAATTCACTCATTATAATATACTCGTCAACATGACAGAAAGCATAATCGATTTATGTTAAGTATATAAGTTTTTCTACTGCTACTTGTCCGTAGGACTTACTTTTTGGTCAAAAAAGACGCATGATATTTGACTTTCTTCGTTCAGATATTATACATATCGTACGCTTCATGAATTATGTACTTGTGTCAATTTACCTTTGCATCAATTTAAACTGTTAATCTACTAACTCTTTTAATACTCTATTACAGAAGATCTATTCCTACAAATTTGTGCCGATTTTTATACGATTTCATATTTCTGAGAATAAGATTGAAAGTGAAGAAGAAAGAAAGTGTTCTATGGATTAAATATTTTAAAGTGCATTATACTTTGGATATTTCCATATTTTTTCATATTGTGTACATTCCTTGCAATTTTATATCTTTTTAATAAATGCATAAAAATTCGAAATCTACTATAACGGTCCAAGTACCTTGTA